GCCAGCAATGTAGGAGGCAACAGCCTCAACAGCGCTTCTCCCAGGGCCATAGGCGGTTTGACACCGAGAAACGTCCCCGTTGATGGTCCCGGCGAACCACTTCATCTCTCCAGCTCCCACCTTCCCCTCTCCCCTTTGGGAGTCCATTACATCTGATAGGTGGGTGCTGTCCAACATTCAACTTGGATATAGAATAGAATTTGACATCGTTCCACCGTCGAGCCTATCCGATTTACACCACTATCTTCGGTTCTGTGCGATGAAGTCCTTCACCTTCTTCATAAGGGAGCGATTCGACAACTCTCTCGCACTGATGGGCTACACAGGTTCTATTCTAGATATTTTACAGTCCCCAAATGGGACGGTGGTCTTCGACCTATCCTGGATCTAAGAGGAGTCAATAGATATATCAAACCGAGGAAGTTCCGGATGACCACTTTACAGAATATTCTTCTGTTGCTGAGGGAAGGGGATTGGTTCACCTCATTGGACTTGAAAGATGCATATTTTCATATTTCTATCCATCCTTCCCATAGACGCTTCCTTCGTTTTACTGTCGGATCCAATATTTTCGAATTCAATGTTCTACCATTCGAACTGGCTACGGCACCGAGAGTCTTTACAAAGTGCATGGCCCCTGTTTGTGCCCACCTACGGCTCCAGGGTATACAGGTCTACCCTATTTAGATGATTGGCTAATTGTGTCATGGACTAAAGAAAACCTTTTAGCGGCTGTCCGCATGACTTGTGCTTTACTTGATGACCTCGGACTCTGTTTTAACCTTAAGAAATCGTCACTTATTCCCACACAGGTCATCGATTTCATCGGAGCACGTATCGACTTCACCCTGCAAAGAGTGTTCCTTCCTCCGTCCCGCAGGGCCACCCTGTGTACACACATCCATCGATGACAAAGGACAGTTCAAGCCATCACTATACAAAAATTGTTGGGACACATGGCAGCCTCAGTGGCCATTGTGCCGCATGCAAGGCTCAGGCTCCACCCGCTCCAATTATTTTTCAACAACTCGTTCCATCCGCAGCGGGATCTACAAACCAAGTTTCTGCAGATTCCATCTTCGATCCTTCACATCCTGACGTGGTGGACTATTTCACGCAGCCTATCTGTTGGCGTTCCGTTCCGCCCACCCCAACCGACAGTGACAGTGTACACCGATGCATCTCTCATCAGATGGGGTGCGACATGTGCAGGACTTTGGGTCCAAGGGGCATGGACCCGAAGCAGCGAGGTATATCAACTTCCTCGAGCTTCTAGCGATTTTCAACGCTCTCAAATATTTCGAAACCGTCTTACACCACCAAGTTGTACAGATTGCGTCTGACAGCATAGCTGCTGTTTTCTACATCAACAAACAGGGCGGGACAAAGTCACCTCTCCTGGCCCATTTGTCAATGCAAATCTGGGACTGGTGCATTCCTCGGGACATCATGATGCTGGCAGTTCATCTTGAGGGAACCAACAACGGAGAAACCGACGCACTGAGCTGACAGATGTCAACTACCCACGAATGGGAGTTGGATCGAGTGGTTTGCAACCAGCTGTTCCAGTTACGGGGACACCTGGATATAGACTTGTTCGTGACCCGGTCGAACAGGGTGTGTGAACTGTTCTGCTCCAGAGCGGGGCTGGGACTGGACTCAAGGGGAGATGCCCTAACGATCAACTGGAACAACCTGTTCTTCTACGCATTCCCTCCAATCCCACTCCTCATGAAGGTAGTGTCGAAGATTGTGCACGGCAACGCCACAGGAATTCTGATAACCCCCTGGTGGCCAAGGCAACCTTGGTTCACCACTCTCCTCACTCAGTCCAGAGGAGTTTTTCGACGATTTCCACTTATTCCTCATCTGTTAACACAACACAGCGGGACAGTCCGACACCCAGACCTACTCTCGCTGAAACTAACTGCATGGTGCTTCCGATAGATCTGAATTTTCCGTCGGCTCCGTTGCCGTCCCGATGGATGCAACCAACTCCTTCCTTGGAACCGTCAAGGTCCATTTCGGGGCCGATAGTGTTATCCTTGGATATCCAGGCAATTCTTGAATATGCACTACGACCTTCCACATTCAAATTGTATTCAGCAAAGTGGAGAAGATTCTCGTCCTTTGCCAATGCCCATTCCTTCTCTCCAGAGTTGGCTTCGATCGAGAATATTTTGCAATTTCTATTCCACCTTCATCGCTTGGGACTCAAGCCTTCATCTATAAAGATCTATATGGCTGCTATCTCGCATTTTTGTGGCAGCATCCAAGGGTCATCTGTTTTTTTCTCAACCCCTGATTCGCAATTTCTTAAAGAGCTACAAAATTTGCACCCGTCGGTTCTGCCTGTTATGCCGACGTGGAGTCTTTCTGTTGTACTTCAGGCCCTTACAAAACCTCCATTTGAACCTTTGGCAACAGTAGCTTTACGCCTAGTTTCATGGAAAACTGCCTTCCTTGTTGCAGTTACTTCAGCCAGAGAACTGTGTGCTCTACGCATAGACCCACTGTTCTTGAACTTTCACAAGGAAAAAGTCGTCCTCCGAATGGACTCCGAGTTTCTTCCCTAGGTGTCTGCACCATTTCATTTGAACCAAGACATCGTCCTCCCTGCGTTTTTTCCTTCTCCGTCAACTCCGATTGAGTGCTCTCTCCATACGCTGGATGTTAGGCGCTGTCTAGCCTTTTACAGGTCTCGCACAGAAATGTTCAGGAATTCCAGTAGTCTTTTTTGTCAAGTATGCTGCTCATGACAAGGGCTCTCCAGTCTCATCTCAGTCCTGAATGGGGTTGCACTCCCTCTTAGGGACAAGGTCCGCAGCCTTGGGAATGCTCCTCGGCCCAGAGCTTTCATTGGAAGCTCAGGTGACAGCAGTGGCGAGGAGCGCTTTCCTTCAGCTTCGGCTGATCCATCAGCTGTGCCCCTACCTGGAGTACGACTGCCTGGCAACAGTGACACACACGCTGGTGACTTCCCGCCTTGACTTCTGTAATGCGCTCTACATGAGGCTACCCTTGAAAACAGTCCGGATACTTCAATTGGTTCAAAATAGAGCTGCCAGGCTGCTGACGGGGACTGGGCGTTATGTTCACATGACTCCAGTCCTCCGTCAGCTTCACTGGCTTCCCATTGAAATCCGGGCCCAATTCAAGGTGTTGGTGATGACCTATAAAGCCCTAAACGGCTTGGGTCCTGGTTACCTGAAGGAGCGTTTACATCCATATACGCCTGCCCGCCCGCCCCTTGAGATCTGCAGGAGAGGCCTTTCTCCGGGAACCCTCCGTGAAAGAAATTAGGAGGGTAGGTACTCGGAGGAGGGCTTTCTCTGTGGTGGCGCCCAATCTATGGAATGCGCTCCCCAGAGAGGTCCATCTGGTGCCGCCGTCATTTGTTTTTCGGCGCCAGGCGAAAACCTTTTTATTTAAACGTCATTTTAATTGTTAATATTTGCTTATTTTATCTGGCCAGGGCGACTTATTTTATATTGTTAATTTGTTTTATATTTTTAATGTATTATATTTTAATTTATGTTGTGAGCCGCCCCGAGGCTTTGGCGAATGGGGTGGCATAGAAATGTTTTAAATAAATAAATAAAAAGTAAAATAAAATAAATTGTGCAGACCATAGTCCTAGCATATCAATTGGCAAAACTTGACTTACTCTCACTTCTGAGGGGGCATTCTACGCGAGCAGTAGCAACTTTGTCGGCCTTTGTAGCGGAGGTTCCAATACAGGATATTTGCAAGGCTGCAACTTGGGCTGCTCCATGTACTTTCGCCAAGCATTATCAGCTTGATGTACGTGCCAGAAGGGATTGTTCCTTTGGTAGAGCTGTGCTCTCTGCCATTCTTCATTGACGACACCTTCCCTCCTCCAAGTCTGGTAAGCTTGCTAATCACCCATATGTGTGATGCACAGAGGCCACGACAAAGAAGAGCAGGTTGCTTACCTGTAACTGATGTTCTGCAAGTGGCCATCTGTGCATTCACACAACCCACCTGCCGGCCCCGCATGGTGTCAGTGAGTGGACTGTTTTTCTTACTGTCAGTTCCGTGTTATTCCTACGGTACTGATTTTTCTTGCTGTGATGCTGTTTTTCGAACGTTGGGGGCGAACTTCGGTCTTCAAGACTGAGTAAAATGGCGGACGCTCCTCTCTATTTGTACTACAGGGGGGAGGGGAGCAGAGTGTTTTCCCGCCAAAAACAGCCTTCTAATCTTCCGGCCTAGGCACTGCGCAGGCGCAGCACCCATATGTGTGAATGCACAGATGGCCACTCGATGCTCTTCTGTCTGTAATGTAAGCAAACTACAAAGGGCCACATAATACATGTGGCATTACTGAGGTCTTTAGCCCTTACATACCTGATCTTTTAAAAATGAATAGGGGAAGAAAGCAACCCTGATGAAGACTGAGGCATTGCAAGGAGAGCTTCAGACATTTACCCTGATGCAATCCCATGCTGGATCATGGGATTGCTCTTTTCAATGGGAAGAAACACCTGTTTGTACCAGTGGGAGCTTTTCAGAAGGGATATTGGAGGGAATGATTAAGATTGGGACTGTGGTGGGAACAAAGGCTGATCTGCGTACACATAACACAGATTTTCTGTGGCCTGCCGCCTTGCTAGCTTTAAAAAAACCCGTACAAGGAATAGAAAATAGCACTTCTGGTCAAACACTTAGTAATGCATACAGTTTGGTTAGTAGCAACTATAATAAGTTAAAATCTGCTTTGCCAAATGGTATTTTTAATTTGGACTCACCATGCTGACCACAGGGGGCAAAGTTTGGGTGTCATAGTAAATAAACTTCATAGCATTGTAATTCTAAGAACAAAATTCTGCACCATTCATGCAATTTGCAACTGTGCAAATGATCTCTTAAAAGTGTTAGTAAGAGGCACGGGGAATCCATGGTGTGTCCATTAGAAAGGCTAACCTATTTCAGAATGGATATGCACTTTTTAACTGCTTTGTATCTTTCCTTTATAGATGAAAATTTATTAATTGACAGAGTGCCATTTGCAAGTGTGATCAACCCAGAGGATCGTTGGACAGCATTACAGTTGAATGGCCATGTTGCTCATTTTGAAGCACAGATTAGGGTGAAGTGTGATGAAAACTACTATGGCCCACATTGCAATAAATTTTGTGGCCCTCGTGATGACTTTGTGGGCCACTACACATGTGACCAAAATGGAAATAAAGCTTGCATGGAAGGCTGGATGGGTGAAGAATGCAAACAAGGTACTACTTATATTTTTAAATAGTATGCTTGCATCTTAAAATGCTAGATGTGTTCTTCACAACCTAGTTATGGCATAAGAACACCCTGATAATATTGGTAACATCTTTTGTTTGTTTTGTATGTTTTTTCATTGATAAAAAGGATGCACTGTTTGGCGTAATACTAAGTGGTGTTCTAGCACTAGTGATGTTTCACTTGAGTAATCCAACACATAACTAGCAAGCACAGTACTTGCATAAGTAAATGCAGTCTGCTGCCAGATTAAGTGAAATTGCTCTTTTTTCACAGTGGTAGTTAAAGTGGTTACACATTGGTTTATGCTAGTACTAATACTGAGTACTCTCAGATACTAACAGTAGGAGCAGGCAGTTGTTACATCTAGCCTAGTATCATTTACTCTGACTTGCAGTGACTGTGCATCACATACACACCTTCTGGGCTACTAGGGTGATATATAAATGCAAATAATATGGACTCTTCATGCATGCATGGAGAGATTTTTGGGAAGATTCAAAAGCTGATTAATTAGTATTTGGCAGGAGCCCAGCCTCCAATGAGACTAGTGTGAGGGTGGGGCTCCCACTGAGACCTCAGTTCTTCTTCAGCTGCCATTGTGAGCACATTCTTCTCCTACTTACCTTGCATCTTGTTCATCTCTGACGACTTGTACCTGTTCACAGGTCCTCTGTTTTTCCCTATTCAATTTTGTTCTACTCTTAGCCCCCCCCCCCCAAAAAAAAAAGGAGAGAAAGAGAGAAGGAGATAGTTTTAAAAGTAATTTCGACGACGGGAGTTTTAAGCAGCATAGCCATCAATCCCTATTCTTCATTGCACCTCGTAAGATCATGCTCAAAGCTCCATTTTGCAATTGTGTGTGCAGCAGCAAACTCCCTCCTACAGACAGCCATTCTCTTTTCTGTTCTGCTTTGGAGACTCTCATGTTGTCGATTCTTGTTACCATTGCTAAACTTTCACTAAGCAGGCAAGAAAACACCAATCTGACTGACTAAAAGCTGAGCTGTGGAACTGCATCCTATATGCTAAGGATCCACAACTATTCACTTAAGGGCCTCCTCCCCCAGCCATAGATGAGTCACTAGTCCCTCCAGCGGCAAAAATTGCAAAAGAGCCAAAACAGTAAAAGACAGATAAAAGGGAAAACTGTCCAAATCTCTCACCCTTAACAAAGAGAAGGGGAGCGTAAAGAGTGCTCAAACATGCACAGAACCTGCATTACCCCCTGGCCTCCCATGTACTGGAGACATGGTGCCATTGCAGGAACAAAGCCGACCAGTCGCAACTCCAAGACAGTCTCAGGAGCCTTCTTCCCAGCCTTTGGAAAGCACCTCAGTGTCAGGAGAGATTCATGAACCCTCCCCAACATACCTTCCTGAATCCAATCATCACTCTCTCCTTCACCCTCAGTCCCGAGCATCTTTCTTTAGTTGGAACAGCAAAAACTTAGATACCACATCTCATAAACCACACCAAGCCATCTTAAGACATCAAGGGGATTTCGATATCGATTACTATTCAGAACGATGGGGATCCATTGATTCCAAACAGGAATGGTCACATTGGAGCCCTTCCAGTTCAGACTACAATCCCTTACTGGGTACTAGTCTTCACATTGCATTTGACAAACCTAATTGAGACCAAGGTCAAGACAGTTCACCTCTTTGATAGACGACCCCTTTCCACTCTACTTAGCCACTATTCTGACAGAACAGAACACCATTCAGAAGGAGAGCAACACATTTTATTTATTTATTTATTTATTTATTTATTTATTTATAACATTTTTATGCTGCCCCATTCGCAAAAAGCCTCGGGGCGGCTTACATTCTCTCCTGACAGACACTCTGACACACCACCAGGAATCTCCACGGCAACAGTTGATTTCTCACAGGCACCAGAGGACTCAAGACTTTTCTCCTCTCAGGTCCTCTGCATGGCTCATAGCCTAGGACTTAACCCCGGGCAGGAGCCAACCAGAGCAAAAGGCCCAGTCTTTGAAGCCATCTATGCTGAATCTGCAGACCCAGTTACCATCCCGCTTCTGCCAGTGCTATTTGACACAGTACGACATGAGTGGAAATCCCCAGCATCAGTAGCCCCACCACCTCATCGGCAAAAATATGTACCGAGTCCAGGAAAAAGATGCCAAGTTTCTTTTTCAACACATCATCGATCAAACTCCATCATTGTTGAATCTGCTCAGTCCCACTCCAGAAGAAAGCACGCCACTCCATCCGACAAAGAAGGCAGATGCCTTGATGCTATTGGCAGCCACTTCTATTCATCTGCTGCTCTCTCCATAACTATATGAGACCTCTTCAACTTTGGTTCCTAAGGTCTTTCGATGCCACAACCCAACCACACCATACCAGACTTTCTCTTCCAACTCAGGTCCGAAAGTCCCTATATTGGTGAATAGAAAAGACCAACTTGACAATAGTTCCTTTTTCATCTCAGGACTCCCAAGTGACTGTTGCAACAGATGCGTTTCAGATGAGGTGCTCATTGCAGCCAGGCTACCATTCAGGCCAGATGGACCCCTCAAGAAAGTTGCCACCATATCCATTTCTTGGAACTCTTGGTGATCAGGAAGGCCCTTGTTGCCTTCCAGGCTCACATTTAAGGTCACCATGTCAGTTGTGGCATACATAAATAAGGTGGAACCAGACCAAAGCAGCTTGCCTCCCTCAACACCACTATCTGGCATTGATGCATTGCCAAGCAGACTACTCTGACTGTCCTTCCTGTGGCAGATACCAGCAGTGTCCTTGCAGACTTTCTCAGCAGGACTTTCACCAAATGCCACAAGTGGGAACTTCACCCTACAATCCTGCAAAGCCTGTAGAACCATTGGGGTGTTACCCAGATAGATAGACCTATTCACTACCGAGCACAACACAGTGTGCAACCATTTTTGCTCAAGGGCTGGTCTAGGTACTCCCTCAGAGAGGTCTTTCTCCTATCATGGAGGGGGAAACTATTCTAACTTTTTCCACTGTTTCCCCTGATTCCAAAAGTTCTCACAAAGATCTTTCGGGACCATACTGCTGCTATCATTGCTCCATGGTGACCCAGACAACACTGGTTTCCCATCCTACTCAACCTAGCCAACAGGACTTTCTTTCGTCTACTGTACCAACATGACCTCCTCTCACAGGATTGTGGCAAGACTGTTCATCCAGATCTGTTGACTCTCCAACTCATCACATGGAGAATTCAACAAACTTGGTCCTATTAACGGACATCTCTCCCAACCTCAAGCTCGTCATAGATGCTTCCTTTAAACCATCTACTCACAAGTCATACAATGCAAAATGGGCAGCCATTTACTTCCTTTGCAAGCCAACATTTTGGCTTTTTTTCAGTCACAGTCTCTCCAGTTCAACTCCTCCTCTTTTTGAACTCACTATATTAAAAAGCCCTTCTGTTCTCCTCTATCAAGGTTTACATGGCTGCCATCTCAGCTTTTCACAATCCTATTCAAGGATGTTCAGCTTTCTCACATTCTCTAATCTGCAAATTTCTCAAGGGGATCCTTAGTCTGACTCCTCCAGTTGGACGTCCCCCTCCATCTTGGAGCCTGTGTGCCGTTCTCCATGCATTCACTAAGCCTCCATTCCAACCCATGTCGGCATGTGATATACGTCTCCTCTCCTAGAAAATGCCATTCTTAGTTGTCATTATTTCCGCCCAAAGAGCTGCTGAACTCACTGTCCTCTGAATTGACCCTCCACATACCATATTCCAGAATTATAAAGTTGTTCTTCAACCCGACCCTCCCTTCCTACCTAAGGTAGTCTCTTATTTTCATATCAGTGAGTCTATAATTTGACCCTTGTTCTTTCAGAACCCCTCTACTCCTTAAGGACTCAACCTTTTCAACAGTCTCAAGGACTTTTTCTTCTCTTTGATGAACCACGAAAGGGAACCCCAGATTCCCCTCAAAGGCTCTCCTGGTGGAGTGTACATACTGTATCCCTGACTTACGAACTCTTTGGCCTTCACCTTTCCAGACCTGTCAAAGCTCATTCTACTAGAGCTACATCTACCTCCACTGCCCTCTATGCTGGAGTGTCTCTCACTGACTTTTGTAAAATAGCAACATGGTCAAGCCTGTCGATCTTTATTTGACATTATTGCCTTGACATCAAGTCCAGGGAGGACTGTACCTTTGATAGAACTGTCCTCTCCTCCATACTTCTTTGAGCAATACCATCCTCCTCCTTGAGGTAAGCTCTCCAGTTGCCCATATGTGTGATGCACAGAGACCATGAAGAATAAAGACAGATAGGGGTTCTTCACACATGTGTGGAGCGGTTTTTGGGAAAATTGCAAAACTGATTAGTATTTGGCGGGAGGCTGGCTTTCAACATGACTAGTGTGAGGGCCGTACTTCCACCAAGACCTCAGTTCGAGACTGAGACCACCGTCATGATTATGTCAAAGACATGTAGCCCATGTGTCAACAGAGGGACACCAGAAGGGATGGCAGGTGGGTATGTGTGAATGCATAGATGACCATTCGAAGAACAACAGTTACAGGTAAGGAAACCTGCATGCAGAGAACCATGCAGTTCTTCCAAAAGAATGGGCATAGTGAGCATTTTTTCTGGGTTCTTTATTAAATTTACAATTTGTCTTAAGGAAATGATCTCAGGTTTCAAACATGCATCACTTTCCCCTTTTGGGTTCCACATGTGCCTACTCTCTGCCTTCAATTATTAAAACATACTTATTTCACCTTTCCGCTAAAGTGCTCAGCATAGCTTGCAAGAGAAGAAATCTTCCACTTGGTATATCAACTATAATGATTTTGCAACCTGAATGATCTTGAAGAAGGGATGATGAGCTGATTTGCTCTGTTATGCTTCAGATTTAACAGCTTCAACATATAAATTAATGAGTTTGTTCTGCTCTAAAAACTTAATCTGAAAATGTGGGGTTTATGCTTAAGGTAATCTGTGGAATCAGTTCTGGGTCAGACTGTTTTGTAAAGCTTCAGACCTACAATATGTCATAGTTCTCAGACTTTTCTTAATTTTAAAGAATTGATTCTGTATCATCCCAGAATTAGCTTGTGTTCCTTGCAAAATATCTGAGACAATCTAATATATTTTAACTTTATAAGAGCAGCTTTAGACATGACACTCCTCTGGAGAGGCAGGAAGCACAAGTTCCAAGTTCTTCTCTGCTTTTTGTCTTTTCTGAAATAGATATTTCTCCAGACAGGAAAGAAGCAACAATTCAGTCTGGCCTTTACATTTGGGAGATGGTAGCGCTGGTCAGTGTAATTTGATACTTATAGCAAGAAGTAGTTGAGATTGCTTGACTGTGTGTCATTCAGTTTACATTGCAATTGGAAAAGGCAGTGTATAAAACAGTTTAGTTTCAGGACCAACTCTTTCTAAAATGCTGGTATTAACTGATGTTTACTCCTATTTCTCTTTCTAGCTGTCTGTAAACAAGGATGTAATTTAGTCCATGGGGGCTGCACTGTACCCGGGGAGTGCAAGTAAGTATATATGTGGATTTGGGTTTTTAGTGTCCTTTCCAAAACACTAGGTTTCCAGAAACACTGATAAGTGTTAAGATTTTTTGGGAAGGCTTTAATGGCCAAGAAAACTTTCTGGATTGGTTGCATAGATTTAGCATATTTTATTTCAAATATTTATACTCTGCTTTATCCTCTGTCCCAAAATTTCTAAAGCAGTTAGGAATAAAATAATAGTCAATAGATACTGAATTATGTAGCAGACCAGAAAAGTGCTTTTATTTGAATCGGAATAATCTGGCACACAAGGTGTCTTTTGACAGGATGCACTCCTCCATCTTGTTTTAACAGTTGTTCACTGTAAGAACAGGCCCTTCTGAACAGGATTCTAGTTCTGACAAGCAAAATGCCTATCATGAGCACTCCAGCTATATGTGGTTGGGAAGAATGCATTCTTATTCACAATGGGTGCTTCACTTCTCTTTCTTCAATGGCCTTTTTGTTTTGATTATATATTCGTTTTATGTCGTGTGTCTTCTGGGTAGGTTGGGTACTTAGAGTAGCTTTACAGATACAGCAGAAGCACAAAAATCATAGCACAATGAGATAAAACAAGACACCCAGCAATTCAGCTCAAAGACTAAACAGCAGAATATTGATAGGCAGGTTTTGACTTAAAAGTGATCCAGTTATGCACAGAGATAGCATTTTTATTCCCCACTACCATATCATTGTGTGACTGATATTTTATACAGTTGGAAGTGATGAAACAAAAAGGTAGGGCTAAATCTGCCCTAGTGTCCTTGGAATCTTCTCTTCTCACCTGTATCCTAGAACTCTGCCTGCTTACTTCATCCCATAAAATGTCATAGGAACCATTGAAAACAAGCTTGCTCCTCTCTGCACAGCCTCACCCATTCATTCTGATAGCTTCACCCTGTGTTCTGATCCTTGATGTGACATTGTACTTACAAATCTTAATTGTTTTGCTTTATATTCACATAGACATTAAAAATGGGATTTCCCTCTTTCATGAAGTTGTGTTCCAAAACCCTTAGTTTATAGCTGTAGGAGTACATTTAAAACTTCTAAGAGCTGTGAAAGTTCAGCCTATATAGCACCTTACTTTGCCTGCTTAAAGTAATGGTAACAGTTTGCTGCAGTAAGAAGCAGCTAACCATAGGGCAAAGTCCAGCATTACTCAAGTAAAACATAGAAACAGAGCGAGTCAGAAGGGGCCTCCCAGGCCATCTGGTCTGACACCCGGCTCCAGCCAGCTCTGTTCATGACATGCCTACCATGTGCATGTCCAGGCTATCCTTGAACACCCTCACTGATAGGACTTCAACCACCTCCCATGGAAGCCTATTTCATACCCTTGGGGTCCTAACCATCAGAAAGTACTTCCGGGCATCCAAATTGAACCTTGGTTTTCTGAGCGTTGATCCATTGGAACATGTCTTTTTCTCCTCCACAGGGGAAAACAGATCTCTATGCACCTCCCTGTGGCACCCCCTCATGTCCCTATATGTCTCCAACAGATCCCCTTGGAGTCTCCTCCAGGCTGAAAAGACCCAGTGCCCTCATCTCCCATCATATGGCTTTCCATGCAATCCGGCCACCATCCTTGTGGCCCTACGTTGCATCAATTCCAATCTTTGTCTTGTCAGTCAGATCTTTCTTGAAATGTAGTCTGTAGTGCATAGATTTACTTGGAACTATATGACAACCTATGCTGAAAAGTTGCTGAAACAGTGACCTTGTTTTATTGGTGAATGTTGGCAGACAGCATTTCAGCTTCTAATGTAAACTGTATGCCTTTTTTAGGGTAGATAATCATGGTTGTTTGAAAGTAATTCAGAATTGGTTTGAAATAGCTAATGAGAATTAAGAACAGGGAAAGCTGTCTCAGACGAAGTTGATCCATTGGTCCATCTTGTTCATTATTGTCTAGTTTGACTGTCAGCAAGTCTCCAAGATTTCAGACCTGGATCTTCCCCAGCCTTGTCCAGAAATGCCAGGAATTGAACCTGGATCTTCTTGCTTTCAAAACCACCATAGGACAACAGCCATAACCCAGCACTATTATCTGCATGTGACTAAACTTGACTAGCTCTCTGAATTTACTGGCTGTTTTCATCTTCCTGTGATGTAGTTTGTTTCTATCATTAAGATAATGCATTTACATCCTAACTTAGCCTTTTCCTGCTTCAGATGTTTTGGCTAAAATTTCCGGTGGAAGTATGTGCACAAGAATTTTCTTTTGTTAGTTAGCTGCTGCTGCTGCTGTTGTTAAGATAAAAAAAAACTTTTATAGAAATGGAACAAAATCACAAACTTTGCCCTTACAGGATATACAGGTTCACCAATATGCAAACTGTATTTTTCCAGTTTTTTTCTCATTAAGCCTGTATCATAATTCATCTTATTTTAGTATTCTTATTTTAGGCTTAAATGCATCTTAAACCTAAAATAAGAGAAGCAGTATGGATTGGGATTCAGGGGATCTGAGTTTTAACCCCCACTTTGCCATGAAACCCATTGAGTGACTTTGGACCAGTTATGCACTCTCACCCTAAACTACTTCACAGGGTTGTTGTAAGGATAAAATTGAGAGAAAGAGAGCTGGGTTCCTTGCAAGAGGAAAAAATGAAGAAGGGGGAGGTTAAAATGTAATAATAATAGTAGCAATAGTCTTCCTTCTTTTGAGAGATATTATTGGACTCAGACTTCTGAAACGATGAGCAGATCTTCAGTGGAGCTGTGTTACTTTTAGAATAAGGGTTTTATTTAAAGAACCCCATTTAATCACAGCCTCTAAAGAAATATTGTGCAGGAAATCACCTTGTTAAAATTTTGAAAGTGTATTGCACAGACGGGATATTTAAAAGGGTGTGTATGTGTGTAGAGATGCAAAATCCTTGTTAAATCAAATGTACTGTTTCTTGTATGCTCATGAAAACATGCAGGGAGATTGATGGTGTGGGGGTCAATTGTTACCTTAGTATTTTCTCAAAAATAGTTCACTTTGAAGGACCCTTATCTTAATCACATATAGTTAAATTTTAAAAAATTCAACAGAACCAGTCTTTCAATATACTTTTCCCTCACTAGTGTTTTTAAAGCATTCATTGTACCCTTCTGAAAATGTTCTTTTTCTCCAGATATTAATCTCTCCTTTTTCATTGTATCAAGGTGGTTTTTAAAAAAATATTTTAGAAATGTGAAGGCTCTTTTATGTCTTAGCTGAGTCAGTGATCTCAAATTGTCCCTGCTTCGCTATAGTTTTTCTTTACCTGTATAAATGGCCTAGACACATAAATCATATGAGTATAGTCTGCACTGGATTGTACCACTTCCAAATGCAGGCAGGGATAAATTATTTGAATGTTTTCAGATGTCATAGCCCATGACTGTAGAAAGTTAACCAAACCCATCAAAGAAAAAATAGTGTCTGCTCTCTTGCTCTGACATGCTATCTTTCTACCAGTGCGGAGAGGCTTTTAAACCAGTTGAGCTTCCAAATGCACAATCCCACCTTTGTTTGGAGGTGATAACAATTCACCTAGTTCAGTACCACATGCATTTTCCAAACATGGGGATAAACTCCAAAGATTCAGGCAGGAGGATATTATTGTTCTTCTTTGTGATCTCTGTGCATCACACATATGGGCTCTGCACCTGATCAGTGGCTGTAGTCAGCAAGATTTCCCTACATAAGCTAAAGTCTTGCTTAAAGCAGATGGCAGCCAAGAAAGACAAAAAAAGCCCTTAAAATGCCCTGACATTGCTCTCCACTGGCTCAATTCAGTCATCTTTTCTGTCTGTGGCCATGGCTACCACATCCATGCCAGCCCCATGACCAATCTTACCACTGACTCCACCAGTCGTCCAGAGACCAGTTTCTCCATTGGGCTTGATGGCATGAGGAGAACTGATTACTCATCATTCCTTCTCCAAAGGCCAATATGGGACACACCACACCATATTCTGGCCAGTCCACCGCCTCTGCCTCCACCAACATTTTTCCCTCTTCACACCAGGACCCACAGCTGCATTTCCTGCTCTCTTACACAGCTGCTGGACAACTGTAAAAGACAATCTCATTGGCTTCATCCAGACCTCCACCCATTGGCTAATGGAACAGCCAAGGTCCCCACCACTGTCCTAGGACCCCAAAGCCTACTGGACTTTGCCACCACCAACAGGACCATATTACCCTTGGGAACAGAGTCCAACCAATTTGTGGTACTACCAGAGGGAGTCATCCACATATCACTCGGGAAGAACCATGGGTCCCAGTGCGTCCAGCCATGCCACTGGTCCCAGCTGCACCATCATCAGCTCATCACCCTGGAACAGTTCTGGTCTTGTAACCTCTCACTCAGGTCCGTTTATTACCCCAAAAGCCCACACTGCCACTAAGAATGTCTTCACCATTCAGCCATTCTTCATCTTTGGACCCCCACCCCCACCCCGATCATGCCTCTGATTCCAATCCACTGCCACTCTACAATCCCCAGACAACAACTTCTCATTGCAAGGTCTGGGATCCTCCTCTGAAGACCTGGGAAGTTCCCCAAACAGGTTCTCTGGATGGCAACATTGCTTGAACTGGAGACTTGGCAACTCATGACATCTCAGGTAGACCTAGTCTACAACATCATTCAGACAGAGGGCTCTATGCCAGTGGCCATCCAGTTCTTCCCCATGCTCCTTCACTTTATGAAGGAACTGTGGTGGGTCCTGGCACATTTCACTGTTAGGAGAGCCTGTACCAAGTTCGGGGAAGGAAATCCCATTCATGCTAGACCATCGGTGACCCATCTCTGTCATCAAGAGTCGGTGCAGGCACAATCACAGCGGGAGTACACCATGCCTGTAGACCATGAAGGACTGTGCCTTGGCATGATGGCAGGGAAGAACTATGTGGCAATGGGGCTGGATCTCTGTATCTCCAACTATAATGTACCTATGGGAAGATACCAGTTTTTTTTCTCTGGAAGAAGATAAGTGTCCTA